CCCCAAAACCCCAAAACCCCAAAACCCCATAAGATTTAATTGCCATTCAGAAGGCTCATTTTATTTATAATCATTTATAATTAATGGAAAATAATTAGCAAGACAGAATTGAACTCAACAGAAAAAGAGTATTAGAGTGCTAGTTTTAGGAATGGTATCCATACTTTAATAAGCTCACATTCAAGTCTAAATTTATGAAGCTCAGTGATAGGTTCATAAAGTATTTGAATTAAGATGGGATATTTTAACCAGAGAATGAAAACTTAGAGCAAGATAATGAGTCAGATGGAAATAATTCTGATAACGATGATGATTTGTAAAAGTAGTCTTAAGAAATTTAAAAAGAGTCTGAAGAAGAGAGGTAAATATTTTTGGAAGAAGTGAAATTATTGAGAAGTTGGATAGATTAGACTCTAGATGAATGGGGAAATGGAGTATTTGTAAAGTTGAATTGGAGTTCAGGCAAAGATGCAGAATGGATTAATCCTACTTTCTAGTGTATAAGTTCAGATGAAGTTTTCACCACTTTGAAATCATCTCAATTTATTGCTCACGATTACACCTGCCCTTTTCATGAATCCATTCCAGATTTCAAACCAGAACAGTATTACTTGATCTTGAGACGCTGGCATAATCTTAACTTAGCTATGGAATTTCGGTGCTTTTTAAAAGAAGGAAAGCTAATAGGTGTTAGCTAGAGAGATACTTCTGCATACTATGAATATTTAACTAAGCCAGATTTTAATAATCTTATATGGAATAAAATTGATGCTTTTGTAAATGAAAAGTTTAATGTTGCTTGGTCAAAATACTAATCAGATTTAAGAAATATTGTATTAGATATATACATAGATGCTGCTCCTAAATATAAGGTTTGGATAATAGACATAAATCCTTGGATAGTTGAAAGTGTTGACCCTTTATTATTTAAATGGGAAGAATTAGAAGATTTTAGTTTGAATGATTGCACATAAAAACAATAAAGCTCATTGTAATGGGTTAGAGTGATTGAAAATAAGAATAGTATAAGACCCTCAGATACAAATTAATTCAAAGTTCCCACAGTAAGATTAAAATTATTAAATTTATTTTTAGGATTTTTAGGACCTAGAAAGTATGGAAGAATTTATGAGAAATGTAAATAATCACTAATTTTCTTGATTAATTAAGTAAAACAAATTTCATTATGATTTCTATTAAGCGGGGTTTTGGGGTTTTGGGG